CGCCGCCGCAGGTCTTCCTCACCGCCCTGCACGACCCCCAACCCGCGCTGCGATACTACACCACGGAGCGCTTCCTGCCCCTGCTGCGCCTGCGCTTCGACGACCCCAGCGGCGGCCGCTACTTGGCCGCCATGCGCCGCGTGGTGTTCCAAGAGGAATCCGCCGAGGACCCCGACGACGCCCCCCCAGCCGAGCCCCCGGCGGCAGGATTGGGGGCACCCTGAGCTTGGCGGCCCTCCCACTACCCCCACAATAAAAGCTTCATTCCCCATCTCCAGAGCCTTCCTCGGGGCCCCCACCCCACCCCCAGGGGTGTCGTCCTGGAGGAGGCGAGGGGTGGCAGCGGCAGGGGACGCGGTCGCACTGCACTTGAGCGAAGGCGCAGTCGGGAAGGGCATGCTCCTCTCGGCTCTGCCGGCCCAAACCGATGAGCCCTCGCCTTCCCCCGCGGGTCCCTACATCTGTGAGGCGGGTCTGAGAATGTTGATCTCGCAGTTCGTGGTCACTTGCCTCCAGCCTGTTCGGAGTCCTGGCGACCCCATGCACGTCGGACCCCATGCACAGGCCCCATGGCGTTTTTAGCACCTTTCCGAAGTAAGACTGCCAGGTCTCTCTTCCTAGGCGTCCTCTAGAGCCTGTGACCCTGTGGGCCACGGAAAGGCAGCACCGCGGTGTTTCCTAGCGGGACTCTGCAGGAACGGAGCCTACCAGGTCTCGTCTGCAGGGCAGCCGGTGGATTTCAACCACGGGCTTTTTTATTAGCAGCCCAGCCCTTTGGTCAGTGAGCTACCAAGGAATTGCGTGCACTGATTCCCAGAACTAATAGTATCACTCGTCGTGTTCTAGTGTTCCAGTCCCAGTTGGAAGCCGGTTGCTCAAAGAACAGGGCTAAATTAATCCAAAAGAGAGGGTCCCACTGCTGCTTCTCCCACCCTGGCCCAGATTAAACTCCGCAGGAGACCTACCAGCCGCAGGGGCCTCGCATTCCAAGTTGGGCAATAGCTCCAAGCCCGGATGCTCTTGCGCCAGGTCCTGTCCACCATCCTAGGACCAGCAGGGAAGGCCTCAAATGGGATAAATCACTATATCGGGTTGCAAGAATATGGAGACCATCTCCTGCCCTCCCGGAAGGGCCAAGACCAAGGCCAGAGAAGAGTGGAAACGGGCTGCAAGCAGAAGAAAGGAGCCGGGCCACCGCTAGAGGGCGGGGCGAAGCCAGGGAACGGGCAGCTTGCAGTCTGAAAGGAGGGCAAGGCCAGGGGCCAGGGAGAGCCTGAGGAGTGGGAGGCGGGAGGAGCACTGGAGCTTGGAGCTCTTGGGGTTCTGGAGGGGCGTGGGGCCACTGCGTCCACAGAAGGGTCTTCTCTGGGCCTGTTGTACTACCTGCCACTTCTGCTTTTGGGGGAAAGGGCAGCAAGGCACCTCACGACCAGCCTGCCCTTGCTAGTGTCCTACAGCACCCAGGAAGGTCAAGTGACAGGGTGGAGCGTGAGCCCTAAGCCTAGACCTGTTCTCAGAACCCAAAGGCCGCTCGGTCAATGTGTGTGACCTCAAGCTTGGGTGGTCAACCTACGGGGCATGGCCAAGGTAGAGCTATCTTTGCTAAGTTTTCGTTAGTGTATATTTGCTCTCTCCTTGGAAAAATGTTATTGGCATAGAATTCAAGTCATACAATTCAATAGTTCAGTCATATTGAGAGTTGTCCAACCCTAACCACAATGAACTTTAGAACCTGTTCTTCCTTCGTGTGTTCATGATCATTAGCTCCCCATGGCCCCCCCATCTCCCCAGCCACACCTCAAGGGCACCATTGATCTGGTTGCTGTCTCTACAGATGTACCCATCCTCGATTTCATGTGCAGAATAACAGGGG